TGAGTCTTCGGAGACTTCAAAATCCCCAGAGTTTTTAGTTATGTGTCATGAGCCTCAAGACTTTTCAAGATCTCTAAGTTGTTCAAAGTATTAGGATTCTTCTAAGTTCCAAGGATTTAGATCAAGTGACTTAGAATCTTGCATTGGTCTCCAAAGCTGGTCTTTAGAGTCTTTATCCTCAAAACCTTCAGAATCTTCAATCTGCAATGGCTCTAAAATAATACCGTTGATAAGGTTCTCAAGGATCATTATACTTTGGACCTTTTAAGATTATGAACCCTCTAAACTAAAAAATGAGCCTTCGTTTTTTAGTTTCTTGAAACTAAGATTCCAAACTCATTGCGATTTTTAGGCAAATCAGTAACTTCGGCTCTGTTTGATTTTTTATGTGAACTTGATTATTGAATAAAGAATGAAGGCTTTCACGGCCGGTCAAATCTAGTAAAAAAGTTTTTTCTGGGCTATAATGCCGTGGTCCATTAGTATTTCTACCTAACGTTCTGACAGATAGTATTTCTACCATAACGTTCTGACAGGGTAATCCAGATTTGTGAACCCAGATACCTTCAGGACGAGATTCAACACCTAAAATCCATACTTGAAGGAAATGGGTACTCCAAGCAGGAGATAAATAGAGCCATAAGACCGAAGCAACAGCGCACAAATAACAAGGAACCAACACAGAGGTGGCAGGGAGAGCCTTTCTTCCCTATATCAAAAATGTCACAGATCTCATAGGACGAACGCTAGAACGACACAACGTTAAGCCTATCTACAAGTCCACAAGAACAATTCAGCAAAGTCTAAGATCGGCCAAGGATCCTTAGGGCACCTCTTGAAACGGCTGGCGTCTATAGAATTCCCTGCTCTTGTGGATCTGTCTATGTAGGAACAACCAAACGCTGTATCAACGCCAGGGTCAAAGAGCACAAAAGAAACTGTCAGCAGGGCAAATAGATAGATCAGCAATCGCCGAACACGTGCTTAAACAAACAAACCATGTCATTCGTTTCGACTAGATTCAAGCATTGGATAGAACCAAACATTTTTACACTAGACTCCACAGAGAAGCCATAGAGATACAGAAACACCACAACAACTTCAACAGAAAAGAAGAGGGCATGAACCTCAACAAAAGCTGGTTGCCAGTTTTCCGAAAAACAAAGACCCTTCCTTTCCGAGAACGAGACAAGGAAAATAGCGTAATACAAGTCACGCCCACAACCCTGGATATAAATAACGCAGGTCCAATAACGTCGAATCCAGTCATCGGATCGGAGGAACACGGAAGAAAACACTTGTCCAGAATATCCTTTCCAATCCACAACACTGAAAATTCTGAATCATCTTGAAGGAGAAGCTAAATAGAATGGCCCGCAAGATGACCTGAGTTAGATTAGGTAATTTTTCTCGAATTTTAAAGTTTATCTAGTAGATCAAAAGCAATTAAAAATCAAAATTTGAACTATTCTCAGCTCTTGAATTGCTTTCAAAGCATTTCTCCAAGAGCCAAGAGCCGATAACATCAAAATTTGCGGCTTTTGACTCGCTGAATAATTTCACTAGGAGGAATCAATATCCATTAATGATTGAATCTTTGATCATTAGTCCAAATCTTGATGATTACTTCTCGAAAAATTGATCTACAACATTTGAACTATAAATATGTCATGATTGCTTCTAAAAAACCTAACTAGTAGATCAAGAGCCGCTAAAAAGCAAATTGAACTATTCTCGGCTCTTGAGAATTGATTTCAAAGAATTTTTCCATGAATTCAAGAGCCGATAACAATCAAAATTTGCCATTTTTGACTCGATGGATAATTTTCCTAGAGAGAATCAATATCCATTAATAATTGAATTTTTCATCATTAATCCAATCTCTCAAAAAATTGATCTACAACATTTGAACTACAAATATTAATATTCATGCATGATTTCTTCTAGAAAAATTACCCAGTAGATCAAGAGCCGTTTGACACCTATAAAAAAAAAACTGTCCACATAAAAACAAAAATCGAACATTTTGTATTGAGTACCATCTTTTGTCCTATATCTGTTTAAGTGGTACCATGGGTGGCAAACGAGTCTAGATAGGAATGCAAAGAGCTCGAAGGACGTGTCTTACTGAGAAATCCTCCTAATGGTGGTACAAAATATCTGCTCTGTGGTGGCTATAGAGGCAACAGGTGGGTTAATTTATGGGTTCTTTTTGAGTACCTATATGGCTCGTTTGAAATAATTTTACATTACATAAACTCACAAAACAATGGTTTTGGCTCGTCAACACACGTATCTCCTTCCTTTGTGTTTTTGGTCAACAATTTTATTTCAAAACTTGAGTGTTTAAAATTAACAATTGAACATTAATTTATTTATCTCCATGGCTAATTGTTATGTAACTTTGTTTTGGAATGTCCATTTTAGTTGGAAATTTGCAGACATTGTAAATTAAACTATCAAAATGTCCATTGTTCGCGAGCCTTAATAGCATATTACGCCGATTTATTATTAAAATTAATTGCCGCGTTGCATTGTTGTGATTTACTCTATTATTAAACTGTTACCAATATAAGAAGAAACATTATTACTTAATGAAGCTACATCTATTCTATATGACAAAATTTGATTTTTTCTATTCAAATTAATGAGTTTTCTATATAGATAAAGATCTGCTCCAATTACAAGAAAAACCAAATGCTTTTCAAACCATGTGTTTAAACACATGTCGCGTTTTGCACCCCTAAAATAATGCCTCATCATCCCCGTTTAATTAAAATGCCTTTTAATGTTTCATATAAAAGTAACATTTGTAAATTGGACTAATAATAATTTTCATTGAATTTGTATCCAGCAATAAAAAAAAAGTGGGTACCTGAAAAAAACCTTTCAATAATACTTCACGCTCAAACACCTTACCAAAATTCAAGGAATTCACCAGAAATATTTTGCTTTTATTCTTGAGGTATTTCGTGTGCATTGTCGCCTCAATTCTTGTGGTGAACTAATGCAATTGAGTCTTCAACGGACCGAGTAAAATCCAAAACCCAAAAACTTCAAGTATCAGAGTTTAAGAAACACTTTGTCAAACACAAAATAAATAATTTCGAGATTGTGATTCTTGTTCAATAGAAAGTCAGTGAAGCAATTTTTTTTTGTCAATTTTAAATTCATTCAATTTTACAAAATTTTAATTGTAGAATAAAATACTCTAATTCTTTCTACATATATCTTACCTATACCTCTTTCTAAATAATTCTAATAATTGGTTTTGACACGCGCCTGTGTGGGCTTCAATATCGGCTCTCAATCAGCAACTAAAATTCATTTATAATAAATTTTCGTGTACATATAGTTTTTATCTATGACAGAAAAAGAATATTAACACTCCAAATCGATGGACCTTATTTCGACGTGGTTGGTCTTTTTTGTGTGATTAAAGCTTGTCTTATTTCTTTACAATCCGTTAATCGCTATAATAAATAACGTTGAAAAGCAAAGAAGTTCAGTGAATACCTAAATGGTTGTATGCTCATGACTTTAGCAATGCTATCTCTTCAATCTGAACTTGTAGCTATTTATCAAAGTTCCAACCACTGGGATTTGTTCAAGACAAGAATATTAGCAATTAAATACTAATTAATATCTCATTTTATTTATTCTTATTATACACTTCGATTTATCGTCATTGATTGCCGCTGAGTAGTTGAAGCTCACCGATCTTTGATCGTCATTTTAAAAGGCAAAGAGAATTTATTGTACGTGATAAATAAGACTTCGCTTGCTAATCAGAAATTGCATCTAATCTAAAGTAGGAAATGTCCGTTGTTGGCTGCGTGGCTGCCTCCCGGATAAAACGGTAGCTCCGAGTAACAAATTAGAGCTATTAGATGACTTATAATGCAAATCTGCTGTCAGTTTTTCTTTTGAAATGGCGCGTTCGGTCTCACGAATGGGGTCTTTAGATTTTATGTTGAGATGTTGAGTATGATTCGGTTCACACCAGAATGGAAATTTTATTATTATAGAGCTATGTGGTTAGTAAAAAGGACTTGCCTGAAAGTTAATGATGAAAAAATGTTTTCATGCAAAATTTGAGCTTTTTTCTTTCGTCAGTCTCCCCCATAATTTACCTTTTCTCAATCTGTGACTTCGTTTTTTTTCCATCCTTTCTAGCTTGAACTAGCACTTAATTCAAAGTTTGAAACTTCCTAAGAAAGTGCAGATGAGGAAATACGATCAAGTTCAAATTCTTATAGAAATCTGAGAGTTGGTAGGTAGAGACCCATAAGGAAGTATGGGGAGTCATGAGGGAGTCGGAGTTAGTTCAAAGGAAATATATACAGGAAACGCCTACCAAATATATATCGAGAACTTCTTTGCAAAATTTGGAAATTGGTTTCCCCTTGCATTCAATTCATTAATTTTTGGAATCCTTGCCATTGAATTCCTAATAATATTCCAGTATTTTAGGGAAAAATATTGCCATTATATGGTAGGTAGGTAGTTTATCAGCCAAATCAAACGTATGTAATCATACAATGTCCATTACAAAACCATTCTGCCAAAATTTGGGCCAGATTCAACCCTTATTGTTTCTAAAATAATATCACTCATTCCTTAACAACTTAAATATCCCTACTCAATTAGAACAAAAATACAACATTGCCAATTCACATCAGGTTTTCATCTCTGTTTCTCTCCTAAGACATTTACTATTTTGATAAATAGTAAATCATTTCAGCTCACATAAATAGTTCAGTGCATGCAACGTATTCTGTAGCAATTAATTAGAAGTAAGTACACGGTAGGACATGTAGATAGGTCTTTGATAAAGTGGGGATAGCAAACGCGTGTCTTGTAATTGGAGAACCGCGGCGTATGGCGATATCAAAGGATGTTATGTATCATGTTAGAACAAGACAATTTTATTTAATAATAAAAATATACATATTTATTGCTAATTATTTTATACAATTTTTACAACATCCAAATTTAAATCACGCCTTTTCACCACTGGTACTCTTATATTCATTAGCAATATTTTTAATAAATTGCATCTTCTCCTTTAATTTTTCCTTGGCGTTTTCCGCTTCAGATCCATTACTTAACATTAAAGTAACAAAGTCGTGGTAAGACATAAGCTCAGATATTTGCCCTTCTGATACATGAGCCTTCAAAAATGATAAGACCGAAGCTAAATGCCTTCCACTAGCGTGCAACATGCATTGAGTAGCTGAAGTGAATACTATTAAAGTAGCCAAGTGTAACACTAAAGCTACATCATCACAAGTATTCAATTCTTCCAATAATTTGTGCTTATGATTTAGAACAATAGTCCTATCCTTCTTTTTGTCAATTTTCTTTATGATCATACTGCAAGCTGCCAAGCTTTGATCAACAGCATTCATAAAATCATCGATGCTTTGCCCACTCAAAGATTTCACTAGGGGCTGCAAAGGTGTCTTGAACTCATTAGGTAATTCATTCACAAACTTCATTTTCTGATCATTATTAAAATTATCCGTGGATTGAATGTTTGACGTGGTTTCAGCAGCTGCATAATTTAAAATTTCAGTCACTATATCAGAGCAAACAGTTTTGAGTAAATATTTCACCAACTGAACTTGCACATCACCTGAAAACAGTTTGATGCCTCTGGAAAACAGACGAACTTCGCTGACTAGATCGTTGACCTTCTCTTGAAGCTCATTGTGGGTTTTGCGTCTGTTAACGTTCTGATCTGCGACTTTTGTCTTGAAAATTTCTGCAGCGATTTGAAAACCTGAAATTCAACATATTTTAGATTTGTGGACACCAGATTTGTTCCAATTTCTTTTAAAAAAAAAATCAACAACACATAGGATGGTTTCTAAATTGATTTTGGTAGAAATGGAAGGCAATTCAAATTATTTTGTATTAAAATGTGAATATCTGAATAATATGGATAGTGAATACTTGCGATAACTAAATAAGTTTGAAATAATGTATTTATCTACAGTTCAACATGAAAAAATGTAATATAAAATAAAAATTCTTCATGTTTTTAGGCTACACTCTCTATTTACCTTGTTCGTTCAAATTAGGAAGAAGATGTTCAGTCAACGGATCAACCAAAGTATCCAAACCCTCTTCTTCCAAAAATCTTTCAATCAACGCTTTAATTTCCTCTCCAGTAACGACTGCTAAGATTTTCTTAGTTTCTGTTGCAATAACATCGTCATCATTGTCAACTTTATGTCCACCACGAAAATGTTTTTTAGTCGATTTCGTTTTAGTTTCTCTGCCTTGAGTGCCTCCGCCACTTTTACCACCAGCCGCCTTTTTTCGCCTTTCCTCCCTCTTGTCCGTTTTTTCGTCATTGTCATCAAATTTTTGAGGTTTGCCTTGGTTTCCTTGAACCTCTATAATATATTGTTGATATTTGCCTGAATCAACTATCTGTTTGGCTTTTTCCTTGACTGATTCACTGCACATGGTAACTAGTCCATCAATAAAAGCTTTGCTAATGATAAAATCTTCAACAACAACTGTTTGTTGTTGTTTTTGGCCGACCAACAACTTATCCAAAATAAGGGAAGTATCTTTTGCAGTAAATACAGAAGGTAAATTGTTCTGCAAATCCACATAGCTCTTGCTTGATATGCATTCATCTATATCAGCTTCTATGCGTTCCAATATAGTTTTTGAAGCCACAGAAGATTCAAGGAATAACAAATCTTCATTACTAAATTGTTTTTTAATGTAAGATTTATAGTCTGATATGCCAATTCTTGCCAGAGTATCAAATTCCAAATATGCGTTTTGCTTGTAAAATGTCAGAGTCCATTCGTTTAGAGATCTTGAATAGGAATTGGGAATATATTGAGCACTTGGCAGTCTACTAGATAACGTGCCATACATTGAAGTTTGATCAAAGAGAGTGAAAAATAACTTTTCACTAATGCCAGTTTGCACTAAAATGGTTGTGACTAATGTTGGTCTTATAATGCCACTTAAACAACCCTTTAGTTTAGCTTTACTGCGAGCGATAAATGATTCGGTAAAGAAGATTTTCGGATCGTTTTTGTCCTGGGTTGCAAAAATGAGCGTTCCTAAGTGTTTTTCTAAGACTTGTTGTTGGAGAAAGTCCGCTGGTAAGTCGTAGGTAATGGTTAATTCGCCTACGTTGATTTGGCCGATTTGTTGTAGTTTTTCGTTGATTTCGCCTGCTATTCTTGTGATGTAATGGGAATCAATGAGTTGACCTGGAACAATAACATTATTACTAAAATGATGAAATTTAATTTTTTTTTAATGTTTTTCAATTTTTTTTGTGTTGAGATTTTACGTCTTGATGATCATTCGGGACTTCCCAAACTCTATACACTGAATTATTCTGAAATTTGAAGCAGAAATCTATAAAAAGCACTCAGAAAAATTGAAAATTGATAAAATTGCCCCAAATTGCTTAACGCGATTTTATTTCTAAACTATAAGTCCAAATGAGCTGAAATTTCCAAGTATTGTAGTCCTCTACTCGGATAAGAATCGCTGAAAATTTCAGCTTTCTATCTATGTATAATAGAAAAAAAGTTATAATTTTTCAATGTTTTCAAAAATACAAATCATAAGGGAATTTCAAATTTTTGTATGTTGAGATTATGTGTCTTAATGATCATTCGGGACCTGCCAAACTCTATACCGAGCTTTATACACTAAATTATTCTGAGATTTGAAGCCATTCAGAAAAAATAACCTGTATTAAGACGTCTATGGAGTTTCCATTTCACGTCGTTAAATTGACAGTGTGGATCGATTTAAAAGTTATATTATATTTAAATAGTAATACCAGTACCTCAACCAGTACATATTATCTGATGCATAATGAGTATACAGTGAGTACCTACATAAAAAAATTATGAATAATAATCATTCTCAAAAGGTTTTCCATCACATTTTCGAAACAATCTGAAATTGGCGTTTTGTGCATTTCAGAAGTAAAGATGGAAGGATACCTAATTGATGAATCATCACTGAAGTAAAAAAAAGGGACCAGGGTAATGTAAACAAGCTATTGTACCTTTCTTTTCTCATCTATTTTTATTGTGGAGGAAGCAATGAGCTATTAAAAAAAAAATTACCTGAGCTTTGGTCCTAGCTGCCCTTAAAATCAGAATTTTGGTAAGATTTAGTTGAGCATGTTTGGTATTAGACTGTAAGCATTTGGCTGTGGATGTTTTCAATAACTTCCCCCTTGACTTTCCATTAACAATTCAAGTTGCGATTCACTGAGATCCAAGGCAACAAATCATGTTTTGATTTATTTTTTTTGGTAATTGGTGCCCCCCTGGGAAGCCGTACGCCATAATAGGTTAGGATCTCATTTGTTACACGATTATACTATTAAAGGTAAGTGTAGCAGTGGGGCACTACGCACTACCGAATACCGGCGAGAAATAGTTGAATTATGATTTGCTGTTGGGTGTCAGCTGCACAACGTTGTTTCAACTGAATTCAGCCTAATGGGGCTTTAATACAATAGCCGAGACAATAGCTGAATGTTCTTCAACTTTGCCAGGCCAAATTTCAATTTCAATTTCAATTTCAATTTATTCAATAATAGTTAACAGTTTCATGATTATAAACATAATAATGTACTTAAAACTATTTAATTATATGAGGCAAAAAAAAACCCCTAGGTGCTGTGGCACCTGTATGGGCTCGATATTATATAATAATACTAATAATAATATGTTACAGGAGTGAATATCTATTGAAATGAGAAACAATTAACAGACAACCAAAAAATACAATAAACTGATAACCTATCCAAACTTTAACAGTGTGATGTTACAAATTTTCATATCTACAACATATCATCCACAAGATAAATGATGGATTACCGACTAAATACAATGACAAACTGGTCATACTGTTCCACTATAAAACTCTTTGCCAATTTAGAAAAATGCCTAGCGCTTGAGCACCTAATGCTATGGGGCAACAGGTTATACATTTTTGGACCCAGGTACCTAACTGATTTCTTACCCAACTCACTTCTGCATTTTGGTGTAATCAGATGACTAGATTTATTACTTCTAGTGCCATAACAATGATCTATAGTAATGTTGTTATTATGATGATTATATATATAGCAACATATTGTATGGAAAAATATTGTTCTTACATTTATAAGTGTTTTGTTGTAGATGAGATGAGTTGGGTATAATATATCCTTTTTATAAATTATTTTTAAAATTCTATTCTGAATAATTTGAAGTGGTCTTAGAGAGGTACTATACATGCTACCCCAAACCAATATTCCATAGCGCAGTACTGATTCGACCAAGCTCTGATACAGGGTTATCAACATACTTCTATCCAAAATTTGTTTTAGTGTGTAAAATTTATACATCAAGTACTTTAACTTTTTACTTAGGTAAGCAACATGTAAGTCCCACCTTATGTAAGAATCTATTATAATTCCAAGATATTTAGTGCTTTTAACTTCAATTATTTTCTCTAACAAATTTTTAACTTCAATATAATTAAACACAGGTCGATTTTTTTCAGTTTTAGTGAATGCAATATAGTTGGTTTTTTTAACGTTCAGTGACAATTTGTAATAGTCAAGCCATTTTTTTACTGTGAAGATGCCATTTTCAGCATTTTCTCGAGCCTCCTGCCAGGTCAAACCATTGAAAACAATCACAGTATCGTCAGCATATGAAATTACTTTTCCCCTGATTTTTAATTCGGTTATTGATTTTATATATAAATTGAAAAGTATTGGTCCCAAAACAGTTCCTTGCGGAATTCCAATTTTCACTATATTAGGGTCACTTAAAGTTTCCCGTATTTTCACTTGTTGTTGTCGATTAGTCAGATAGCTTTCAAACACCCCCAACACAGTACCTCTCACACCATTTTGTTCAAGAACATGTAGGAGTTTTTTATGAGGCACTGTATCGAAGGCCTTTGCCAGATCCAGAAACACAGCCAAACACTTTTTATCAGTATCCAAATTTTGTCGAATTTCCTCTATTAAGTGATACATAGCAACACTTGAGTTCAGACCCTCTGTGAAACCATACTGATTCGGCGAAAGTAAGCCATTTCCCTTCAAAAAATCATTAAGCCTTTCCCTCAAACACTTCTCAAAAAGCTTGGCAAAGTTTGAGATTACACTAATCGGTCTGTAATTACAGACCTGGTTCGAATTTCCCAATTTCAGTATTGGAGTAATTATAGAGATTTTAAGTTGTTCGGGTACAATTCCGGTTTCAAATATTAAATTTATAATGTATTTAAGGGGCATAATCAGGTAGTAGTGTAACTGTTTGATTATTCCTGCAGAAACTCCATCATTCCCAGGAGCGCTGTTATTTTTTAAACTTGCTATGTGTTTTATTAGTTCACTATTACCTACTGGTCTTAAGAACATGGATTTATTTGAAATGCTTGAAGGGAACTTCTCCATGCTGTCAGGGATGCTATCAAACATGTCTATTCCAACCTTTGAGAAATAGTTGTTACAATAATCACTCATTTCTTTATCATTAGGAAATGCTTTATCATTATCTAAAATATTAATAGAATTATCTTTTTTGTTTTTTATGTTAATGGCTTGATCTATAATCGCATATGTCTTCTTTAAGTTATTTCTGTTCTCTTCAAGTTTTGATTTGTAGTATATATTTTTAGCATTATTGATAATTTTTTTTAGGTTATTTCTGTATTTTTTGTACTCATTCTCTTTTTCTGGAGTATGATTTTGTACCAATTGTTTTTTTAATTTATCTCTGTGCTTAATAGATAGAATAATGCCATTAGAGATCCAAGGTTTGATTTTATTATATTCTTTAATTAAGATAATTTTTGTTGTTTTGCAAAGTGAGTATATACTTAAAAATTTATCGATAAACTTTTGATATGCGCTTTCAGGTTCTACAGAATTGATCACCTCAAGCCAAGTTTCTTGTTGGGATAAATTAACAAGCTTTGTATAATCAGTTTTGACTATTGTTTTCCTGAGTGGTTCATATGTTTCCGGAGCTGACTTCTGAGAGATATTGAGCATTATTGGGTAATGGTCAGTGATGTCGTAGTCTATTATATAACTATCAATTACAATGTTGTTTATTTTGAGATTATTTTTTAGAAAAATGTGATCTAAGCATGTTTTTGTAATTTCTCTAGTGATTGAGTTTATATATGGTTGATAACCATGCAGGCACAGTGCTGAACAATAATTAGCTACTTTTTGGTCTGAATCATCCAGAATATTAATATTGATGTCTCCCATCAACATCTCAACATTTCTAGAGGAATGATTTGATAGGTAAATGTTTAGATCACTAACGAAGCAGTCTATGGATGTTTGTGGAGAACGATATACACAAGTTAGACCATATTGTATTTTATTTATTTCCAAGGTAACTCTATTAACTATTATTTTAGTGGAAGCAAGTTCATGTGTTGTTATGTTAGCGTTCAATTTAGTTTTAACTAATATAAGGATACCATCGTTTTTGTTCATGTTTCCCTTGTTATAATATGTTGTGTAACCCTGGATTGAGAACTTGTCACAAGAATCCAGTCGATAACATTCGCTTAGTACAATAATATCGCAATATTTGATTTTAAAAGATTTAAGAAAAGATAATAATTCGTCAAAATTTTTCCTAGCACTTCTAATATTAAGATGTAAAACATTGAATTTTTTATCTATTATATTAATTTTACCCAAAATATCCAACGGACCAACAGTCTCACTACATATATCACAATGAATTGAGTTCAAGAGATCGGCTTCTTGTTGCTTAGACATATTTTATTTTACTTCTTAGCACTTCCAAATGGTACATATATGTTGGACAATGAGGGTCCGTTGCCTCATGTTCGAGGCCATAGCTGGTTTTGTATTTTTTATTTGACGTTTCGCAGTTGATACATTTTTTTCCTTGTCCTGTTACACTAAGCCTACATTCATTTCGTGGGTGCTCTTCTCCGCAATATGAGCATTTGGCCTTGTTTTGACATTGAGTGTTGTTATGGTAAAAACCAGTGCACTTGAAACATTGCTTAACTGAAAGGTTCTCATACACTGGATAGCGTTCCCATCCAATATAGATCTTCCTGTAAGCCATAAATTTTTTAAATAGGTTGGGTGAGCACTCTGCAAAGATAATTTTACTATTTGCTTTGGTGTTTTTGATAAATGTGATTTTAAATAAATCATCCTGGGCAATAAAAGTATTCTGACTTTTTATTAAATTTTCAATTTCTGTGTCCGTTGATGCATCTTCAATAGCGTACCCAACAATTTTTACTTGTGGATTTCGAAGTTTGGTTTCCTCCACTTCATAGTAAGTACTAAGTTTCTGTTCAATTTTGTTTTTTAGTTTCTGTATGTTTTTTGTATCATGACACTTAATTATTAAATTTCCCATTTTGGTGGGCCTGATTTTATTTATTCCAATGTTTAGTTCCGAGAGCTTTATGTGTTTCATTATGTCGATTTTAGTTACTTCTGAGCTCTGTTGTGCTTTTGGTTTGATGATTAGGTTGGGAGTATTATTGGGTGATGGCCCATTTGTCAATCCTTGTTTATTCTGATGCACCACAGCTGCAAATGATTGTATGGGGCCTTCAGTTGATAGATCAAGGATTTTTGATTTTTGTTCATCCAGTTCTTTTTTGAGTAGTAGGATTATTTCGTCTTTACTTGCAATCACTTGTTTTTGTGTTTTCCAGATGAAAAGTCGAGTGATCATGTTCTGTACCTATTGTAGCTGAAATGAAATAGTGACGCCTCTAAAGACGAATAAAAAAACTTTCAAAGGAGGTCCTCATTTTCGTTCCCCCTCCAATCTCCCGATATGTATTTGAGATCTTCCTGATAGTATTTTTTGTTTAAGAGACATTCCCGATTGCTATAAATGATTTTTTGGTACCATTTTTGAATTCTCCAGAAAAAAATGCCAATTGGCTATTTTGAATTTTTTCAAAACTACGGAAACGGGGAAGTTCAAAAATAAGCCCCTGTTCAGACGTCGTTGGATGACCCTGTACATCTCGCATTCTTCGTTTACTTGTGTATATTTTGGAGCAGAATTGCAAAGATATCTAACAAGTGGTAGGTAATTTATTTTGAGTGCTTGAAAAGAAAGCCTTAAGTACAATCAATAGGAATTATTGTGAAATGACTTGAAATTGTGATATTTTCCATATAACTTTGCATTGGGGGATAGCAGAAGAGTTAGGGACCACTCCAGCTGCTGGCAAGATGTACTTTCCCATTCTTTAGAATCACAGGAACTTGCATGCTCAACTACTTGTAGCGCCTGCTCTAACCTCAGCTTTAACTCAGAAAAATTGAAAATTGATAAATTTACCCCAAATTGCTTAACACGATTTTATCTCAGGAACTATAGGTCCAAATGAGCTGAAATTTTCAGGGATTGCAGTCCTCTACTCGGATAAGAATCGCTGAAAATTTCAACTTTCTATCTATACTCAATAGAAAAAGTTATGATTTTTCAGTTTAAAAAAATACAAATCTTAGTACTAAAACGTATTAAAATGATGAAATTTCAAATTTTTTTAGTTGAGATTTTGTGTGCTAATTGAGGTCCTAATGATCCGAGTAATGATCATTCGCGATCCCCCCAACTCTATACACTAAATTTTTCTGAGATTTGAAACCAAAATCTATGAAAAAAGGCACTCGGAAAAATTGAAAATTGATAAATTTACCCAAATTGCTTAACACGATTTTATTTCTGAAACTATAAATCCAAATGAGCTGAAATTTTCAGGGATTGTAGTCCTCTACTCAGAAAAGAATTGTTGGGAATTTCAGTATTCTATCTATTATGAAAAAAAAAGTCATGATTTTTCAAAGTAGCTGACGTCACACACATAATCTCACTTCCGAAGTTTTTTTCCCCATCCAAACTGAGGTTATGTGTATGACGTCAGCTAGTGCCTAATTTGTGAAAAATTCAAACTTGTTGTAATCTAATAGCAATAAAAGTTCCACCCTACCTAAAACATTCTGTATATCCTTTCTGCTCCTCAAAACTTCATTCAAATGTGCAGTAATTTGTCCATAGTCCACTCCGATAATCTTGGCAAGTTCACCAAGATTTATCCTGCCTCCGCTCACAAACAGCTCATTTTGAATGTCCGTTACCAATTGTGCTGGCGTCAAATACTCTTTACCATCGCTGGTAAATATAAGATCCAAAATTTTCTTCTCGATAAGCCAGGAAATAATTTCAACGCAATTTCTTTCCGATAGTTTTTGACTTGTTGAACTGAGCTGGACTTTTTGAAAGTCTGCAGCTAAACGTTTCACTTCTTCCCAGTCGGACATTATTATTGTATTTTAAAGCTAAGAACTTTATAATTTAATAAAAATTAACAATATTTTGAAAATAAATGTAAACAACATATGGTGGATGACAGCTTAACCTAGTGATGACGTTCCTCTTTTCTTTTTATAGCGTTTTCTTTTGTCTGCACTGAGAGCAAATCCAGCTGTTCCATCAGAGTCAAAATACAAATGTTTAAAATTCAAGAACTAAAACTATTTATGCACAGTTGAACTAATAATATTTTTTCAACTCAACTCTTACTAATCTAAAAACATAACATTACAACTAAAATAAACTGGAAGATTTCATGTAAAATTCCTTATGCTTTAAATCATTAACAGTGGCTTCAGCAGCATTCCTCACACTTTCTATGGAATCAAACATCAACGCTTCAAGTGTATCTCTTATTTCCAAGCTCCATATTTTTTCCAAAGTGCTGTGCTGAAAATATTTGCCCATTAAAAGCACAAATATGCAACTCCTTTCCCTCATAATTGGATTCGAGTTGCGCAAAAACTCTCCTAAATGAAGCTGACTATCTGTTTTACCATCATTCAAAACGATTTTTTCAATTATTTCAGTATTTTCTGGCAGTCTTCTTATAGTTTGCGTTAAAATTGATATAATATCCATCGATATTCTCAGCTTTCGCTTGGCCAATCCCAAAAGTGTATTTATCAAACTATAGACATTCAAAATAACTATAGCGTCACAAAATTGTAAAACAAAATCATCTTGAATGTAAACCAAATGGCACACCAACATTACAATGTGTTCTAATGCTTGCAGTTCTTCATTGTCTAGTTTTTCCAAAGATTTATAAGTTTCCAAATTCTTTGTGGCTGGTAAACCTCCAGAAGACGAATTTGAAATGTCTGGCAGGTTGCGAAGTAAAAGTTTTACAGCGTATATGAGATTTGGTAAAAGTTTGACTTCCAAGTAAACTTTTTTGATTCTGTCCAGTGTTTTTTCTGAAGTTCCTTTTACAACAAACGCAATGGATAGTAGCTTGACCACAAAACTTAAAACTTTACTGTTTGAATTTGAGTTTTTAAGTGGGGAAACTATAATGTTGGTTAAATTTGGTTGCAGTAGTGAGGACATTTCACCATTCATTACTTCTTGTATGGATTTTTGCAAAAACACTATCCATTCTTCAGGTTCAATGGGATGATTGTCTTCTATGAAGTTTAATTTTTCTTTTAGGCATTTACTTAGATTTTCCATTGCTTTATCCTGCTCTTGTTTCTCTTTTGACTTTTTAGATTCTTCTGATTTTGGTATAGCCCCAGTTGAACTTTTATTGCTGTCAGATTTTTTTGTGTCAGTTTCTTTTGGTACAGCCCCTTTATGGTGTTTATGGTTCATACTGTCTTTTCTTTGTTGCTCTTTTACTTGCTTGGTACTGGCAGTCAATGAGGAAGTTAGAGGCATTGGCACTGTAGATTTTGATATTAAAATATGACCTTTAACAAAGGAGTGATTCAATATTTGATTCCAAGTCAGTCTTTTGGATGGATTCTTTTGGAGTAGACCTTTTAAAAAAGATATGCAGTCTGGTGAAAGAAATGTTGGCCACTTAATTTGCTCACTTTTAATTTTTTTAATTAAATGCAAAATAGAGTTGGTGCAGAAAGGAGGGGTTCCCATTAGGAGCTCATAAATAATGCATCCTAATGACCATAAGTCTGCATTATAATCATAGGGAAGTTCATCGATTAGCTCTGGTGCCATATACAATGGAGTTCCTTTTATTGAAGTTAAAACATGGGTACCTGTACTCATATTTCTTGCGAATCCAAAGTCACATAGTTTGGCCTTATTTTCTAAATCCAACAAGATATTTTGGGGCTTTAAATCTCTATGTAGTACTCGATTTGAATGTAGATAGTATAAGGCCGACACTAAATCCCACACAATTTGTTGCACTTTTTCTTCTGTAAGGTAACCTTCTTTGTTCAGTACTCCTGTAAGCTCTTTTGGTGCAAACTCTGTTATGACTACAATTTCGTTTTCTGTTTCGAACGAATCGAGCATCTGGATTATGTTCGGATGGTGTAAATCTCTTTGAATTTCGCATTCTCGCCTGAAGCCTTTCAGTTCTTTGACGGACCTGCCTCGTTTGCTGATTACTTTAAGAGCTACAAAGTTGCCGGTGGATAGCTGTTTGGCTTTGTACACTCTGCCAAAGGAACCTTCGCCTAAGGTTCCTATTACTTCGTATTTATCCATGTTAACGTTAACTTTGAAATTTGGATGAATAAAGTAAAAATAAACAAACTTTGTTTGGCTCAGCTGATTTTAATTTGACGATATTTCTGTTGAGGTTAAGAGGATTTCATTTTTATCTGCTCCAAGCAGATCTGACGAATGTACGACACACGGGGCTTGTTTGGGTGGTTGCTCGGAGTAAGTGCAGTGCACAAAGGAGTGTTCATTAGCTAATCTACACTTACCTTGCGTTCGGTATTTTGCTCAAAGAGTAGAGCGGTGCCGTAGTCATGTGACCAGCGAGCGAACAGAGCAGTTGAACACTGTATTAGAGCCAGAAATTTTAATAAACGAACGCGAATGAGCCTCCACCGAGTACACTTTTTAAATAAACGAACGGTAAATTCAAACTTGGAGAATTCAGATCAAAATACGGAACGCACGATTACTCACCTTGCGTTCGGTATTTTGCTCAAAGAGTAGAGCGTGCTGAGCGGTGCCGTAATCACGTGACCAGCGAGCGAACAGAGCACGGATAGTTTTAGTAGAGAGCACAGTCGAACTTGCACCAGTTGAGCTGTTTTCTCGCGGTGGAACTGGTTCGACCCGGTTCAATTAGGTTCGAACCTGTACCTGAGCCGCTTTCCAGTATGGGAGTGTGAAGCCCGGAGCTACTCGGGGCGTGGAGCCCCCGAGCTGTACGTACGCGTCAACCTATCAGCTGTCACATCTGTGGGTGGCTATTTATCTATTTATTTCTTGTTATATCTCAAGATTGAACATTTTAAAATATATAGTTTTGATTCTCTTTCATTTTTGATAAATAAAAAAACAAACTGCACAAACAAATAGATAATTATTTTTAAAATTTGACATATTTGACACTAAGACAGGCGTCTCACGCCATGATACTGGAACGGTACAAATCTAGTGCGTGGCGCCCCTGAGGTGCTCTGGAGCGCGCCAGAGCGCGCCAATGTGCATACTGGAAAGCGGCTATTCTTGCGTTGAACCAGTGACGTCACATTGAACCTGGTTCAAAAAATTTCGAACCGGACTCATGGCTTGTTCTCCGCTGACATAAGACTGTGGTTCAAACCTTCCATTTTCTCGCGTTCACAAGTGATGACGTCATCTACAAATTGGTTTAAACCGTAGTTCGAACCATTCGCCCCACGAGAAAACGCCTTTGAGCTTTTGGCGTGCTCACTCCGTTCACTCTAAATACTCCGTAGAAGCAACAAAGCACTCCGATCGTTAGGATAGAACCATAGACAATAAAAAATAAAAAGACCTTCAAAAGTATAGCCGAAATAGGTTATACTATTACTGCGCATCCGGTTGCGCATTGCGGAATTTTTGGAAAGCTAGAGACTTACGAAAGATCAGTCCGATCATTCGATTCTGTTTCATCTTTCTGTGTCATAGCAATTCACAAGACAAGGACACCGTATGAGTTACAGAGCTTTCCTAGCTGTTTTGTAGAAACCTATCAAACATCCATAACTATAGAAACTGTCACCGAGAAAACAAATAAGTAACCTTAAAATAACGACATTTCCGTGTTGAAATATTTTTAACCGATTGAGCGGTCGTCTAAGAAGACTCGAACTCACAAAATCTAAAGAACAAGAAGAAATTGTCATTTTTATTAAGGCACTCGGTATCGCGTACCTATAATATTATGTACAACTAGGATAAACTGAACCAGTAAGTATACATGTTAGTTTTGTGATATACGGCATATTTTTTTACTGTTTTAGGAGACCTCAGTCAGAAGAGATAAAATGTAGATGTTAGTCCTTGGCCAGCTTAGCTTGTACATACATTAAAGCATGTATAAGGGATGTAATAACTGTGTTAGTAAACTCTTTAGGTATTTGACTCTATCTAGCTATAATATATATTTTTTCTAGTACAATTTAGTGTTTATTTTGCCTCTTTTTTTAATCTACATCAAAAAATCGCACAAAACTTTATGAAGTACCACACCATTTTTCTCATTCGGATTTGAGAAACAAAGATGTGGAACAACATAAGTAAGTTTTTTGTGCAATGAACTCAAGACAAATTTCAAAATTCCCGCCATTTCAGTATTTGTTCCGACTGCCACTATTGACGCCACCGTCGCTGTGACGTCAGCGCTATACAAACTTTCATGTTATCAATCAGGTACTCTTACCTTGGTTTATTATATTTCTCTATGGATAGAACCTGAGATTAGAACTGATTTGCAATCCCATAGTTCGGTTCTGGTTCTGAGGTTCTGGGTACTGGAGTTTGGTTTTTAGGCGTGAAAAGAGTAACTACACTCTCGCCTAACCGGATTCGAGTCGAATTAGAGGTGCTCACTCCAAAAGTTTCAGGGCACAGTTTTGCAAAGTAGAGTTTCTTTTAGATTGTTTACTTTCGTCTTCGTTTTTGTTTGTCCCAAAAACTCTGGTTCGTTCAAGGACACACTTGACACTACTAGTACAGGATAGCTCATCCTCATATAAGGCCTGTGTGGAACAAATCCCTCCTCCCCCCAACCCCAGCCAAATGACAGTTAGGCACTAGCTGACGTCACACACATAACATGTTCGTTGGGCAGACAAACAAAGCGTTTGAAGGACAATTTTAAGCACACAGGCGCTAGCATGTCACCAATGAAAACATCACTTTCGATAGGGGGACCAATGAACTATAGTTCATTGAGGGGGACAAATATGTCATTGAGGTTATGTGTAAGACGTCAATGGCTAGTACCAAGCTGTGACGTGGCAGCATGTTATTTCTCCCCTTGACGTAGCCTGTTGAAACAGATGACGACTTAGTTATGACGTCGCAAATGGTGAAACACCAATATGGCGGCGATTACTAAAAACGAGGCTGATAAGCAATCCTGTGTGTATCATCTTTGGGGACTGCACGCCTGCAGTTTTTTTGAAGCATTGAGAACGGTGTCACTGCAAAACGAGTGTTGCATTAAATTTGCTCTACCAAGGAAATATTCTAATAGTTATTTGTCAAAATAGTTTTATATATTATCACAATACCTATCCGCCCGAGGAGATGTGTCGTCATTCCAAAAATTAACTTTTAGTTACCTATTTGTCAAAATAGTTATAAAAAACCCGCCCTAAATGTAAGAACAAAGTATTTTCCTTGCGTAGAGTTGAGCCTGCACTGAGTACACTTTTTCAATAAACGAACGGTAAAAAAAAAAAACGGTAAATTTATGCTCGGAGAACTCAGATCAAAATACCGAACGCACGGTTTGTGACGTGCTGTCATTTGTCAAAGTTCTGACTTCATTTGTCCATCCAAAAAGTAGAGGGAGGTTTTTATTTTTCATTTAACAACTTCTGTCCCTTCTTGTCCCTGTCCTGTTCTCCAAAATTTGCAATTTTTCAATATAAAAAAGCCGGTGCCAATTTTAAAGTCTGGCTTGTGTAGGTAGATTCCCTATGTGTTCATTTTAGATTAGTGTCACAGGCAAAGGTAAGTTGTGTGTAGTAAGAAAAACAGAGGTACTATTTATTTCCATGGGGCAAGCCTAAAGCCAAATGTTAACCATTTTTATTTCGGTTTCAGCATAAAAGGCAACATGAGTTCTTCAAATCTGCCCGATATAGCAGACAAAAGCCTAGTGCAAAATATGTAAGTGAAGTACCACTAGTACCCATTAAGAAATTCAAGTATCAAGATGAATAATATGAAACTTTATTTTTATAGAATATAAATGTAAGGTTATGAATGTTTGTGTGTGATTTTCTGTATTTATCATCCAAAAATGATTCATTTTAAATCCAATTTACACTATTATTGGTTTTTAATTGCAAATTTTATTTATAGAACTGAACATTTATTTTTGGAAAGTTACTCTATGAGTAATTAGCCCGAAACTGCATTCAAAATGTTGTATGTAGGTATAGGACTTATAGGAGATACCATTCCCTTTCTTTGGAATTGTTACTTATTGTGTGTTGTTACTAGAACGATGAAATTTTAAAAACTATAAGTTCGAATGAGCTGAAATTTCCAGGGATTGTAGTCCTCTACTGGGATAAAAATCAGCTTTCTATTTTTAATAGAAAAAAAGTTATGACCTTTCAAAGTTTTCCTAAATCTAAATCATAAGGCTTCTTACTAAAACGAAATTTCAAATTTTTTGTTGTTCAGGTTTTGTGTCCTAATGGTCCTTTGGGATTCCCCAAACTCAGGTCTATAAACCTAGCAGTCCCAAAGTGGAAAAAAACTTCGGGAACTATATAATAATTAGGTGCTAATTAGGGCCTCTAATTAAAAATTAGGTGCTCCTTTGGTTTCTGAACAAATAAAAAAAAACTAAGGGACTGCTAGGTTTATAAAAGCTAGCAGTCCCCTATAGCAGAGCTGGGAGTAATGACAAAACAAAGTTACTTTACTTTAACGAGTTACTGAAAGTAACGCGTTACTTGGTAACTTCGTTACTTTTCAAATTGATTGATAAGTAACTGTAACGACGTTACTTTCCTGAAGTAACGCTGGAAGTAACGCGTTACTAGTTACTATGAAAGTAACTCGTTCTCTCAATTTGTTTATCTTCTTTACAAATAATTGACGAGTGAAGAAAAGGAAAATAAGTAATCCAAAAACTTTGTATGTCAAATAAAATGTTGGTAGTACAGAAAGTTTGTTTTGAAAGCTCAAAATATTCGTTTTTGGGCGTGCCACGCGCCGCCTCTGCTCTAAAGGCACTATATGCAGACACTGGGACGCTTCAAAGAGAGGTTTGTCCAAAACCAAGTGCTCTATTCCAGTCGCTTAATCCTTAATCCGTTTGAATTTTGCAAGAATACTCTTCCACATAGTCGGACTCACAAACTAAAAACATATTGGCATTTCGTATAGGTCTTATTTGATTGTTTGGACTGCTGTGTTGGTGAGTCTAATTAAGGAATAACACAATTTTCGACGTAAATAGTTACTTTTGAAGTAACGCGTTACTTTAAAAGTAGCGAACTACTTTTAAAGTAAAGAAGTTACTTTCAAAGTAAAGAAGTTACAGTAACGCGTTACTTTCCAATAAGTAACGAAAATAAAGTTATCATTATTCGAAAGTAACTGTAAATTTTAAGTAACGAGTTATTTTTAAGCAGAAGTAACTGTAAAGTAACGCATTACTTTTTTCAAGTAACGATCCCAGCTCTGCCCTATAGTAAAAAATATTTTTTCAAATTTTTTCTTTTTTTTTTTTTAATTATTAGGGGACTGCTGACTTTACGTTTACATGTTGGTGTGTCAGAATGGAAAAAAAACTTCGAGATCTAATCTTAAAGTGAAGGAAAAACAAACATTATCATCAAGTATGTCAAAGGCATTCCAACGATACTTGAAAATCCCTCAAAAAACTAAACAACAGCCAAGTAATTGAGATCTCCTTTTGGTACAGCAATCTTAGCTCAATCGTAAACAAAATAGACGAGTGGAAAGCTAGAGTATCTGCAACAAGCCCAACTATTATTATGTTGTCAGAGACCTGGCTTAGTACAGATATAGATACTGCAATTCTAAGCCTAGATGGTTACAACATCTACCGTAAAGATCGACAAAATCAAAGAGGAGGAGGGGTTTGTATTTGTATAAAGAGCCAGGTCGATGGACACAGCCTGATCTGTAGTACTTCTCAAGATTTTAATACGACCAATCCTGTTGATGGGCTTGGGCTGGATATACAAATAGATAAAATGAAGATTCATGTTGCATGTATTTACAGGCCAGGAAACACAACCAGTGAGGAAGCCAACACTCAAATGATTGCTGCTATCAAAGAAAGCTATTCAAAAAAGAATCCAACATTTATTTTAGGAGATTTCAATTACCCAAATATAAACTGGGACAATTTAACAGTTTCCCCACCAGATAAAAGGACCCAAGACTTTATGGACATGTATCAAGAAACAAATGCACATCAAATTATAAATTTTTCTACAAGGTACAGAAACGATCAGAGCTCTTTATTGGATCTATTTCTATGCAACGATCGTAAAAGTATTTTTGACTTAAAGCCAGAGGCGCCAGTTGGACGCAGTGACCACATCATTATCACTGCTAAATATCAACTAAAAATTCCTCCCAAACCAACAAAAACCATACTAAGGAGAAACTTTTACACTCCAAACTATGATCAAATAAACAGTTTTATCACCCAGCAAACTGTATGGGAAGAAGATACCAAGTTTGGAAGTTTCAACAAAAATGTGATGGAGGCTATAGAGCAGTATATACCAGTTAAGTCGGTTAAAATAAATCACCAGAAACCATGGATAAATCAACATTTGTTTGGAGAAATAAATAGAAAACGCAAATTATGGGATAAATACAGAAGTAACAGAACAATTGAAAATTATCAAGTATATACTGCTCAAAATAACAGACTGAAACAAAAGCTTACTCAAGCCAGAACAAAATTTGAACATGGACTGGTTAAAGATAAATCACAAAAGAAGATCTTTAAATACATCAGCAAAAACTTAAATTCAAAAGTGACAACTATATCTCTGAAAGATTTAACTACGCTTGAAGTGCTAGACAACGAAACCACAGCCAAGACCTTTGCAGAACAATTTAACAAAGCCTTTTCACAGGAAACCTTTGCAATGCCACCACTCCCTGTTTGCACTAGAGCCCAAAACTCAATTGATACAATGCACTTTACCGAGGAAAAAGTGAGTGGCGCATTAAAGAGAATGAAAACAGACTCAAGCCCAGGACCAGACAACATACCAACGATCTTCCTAAAAAATTGCAGCAATTCATTAAGCTCACATCTGGCAGAAGTGATGAATGAATGTATGGAAACCGGTGCTATCCCTAAGGAGTGGAAACAATCAATAGTAACACCAATTTTTAAAAAAGGAGATAGGCACAAACCAGAAAATTATCGTCCAGTCAGCTTAACATGTAACCCACTGAAGTGCATGGAAAAAATCATTGTTGAGGAACTAACAGCCTTTTTCCAAACTAATGATCTTATTCCCACATCCCAACATGGTTTTCTTCCAAGGCGCTCCACAACCACAAATTTGCTAGAATGCCTAGACGATTGGACAGCAAACCACGATAAATCGCAGCCTACTGATGTGGTGTATCTTGACTATGAAAAGGCGTTTGACAAAGTCCCACATAACTTACTTATTGGCAAATTAGAGCACTTTGGAGTACGAGGACAGCTGCTAACGTTAATAACAGATTCACTTAATGAAAGACACTACAAAGTCAGAGCTAATGGAGTATTGTCCAACCGGCATCCAGTGAGCAGCGGAGTTGTCCAGGGCTCGGTCCTGGGACCTTTACTCTTTACTGTTTACCTCTTCGATTTGGTTGACATCATACAGTGTCCAATGAAAAACTTTGCAGACGATGGAAAACTGTACATTAATCCACTTATTGGTGCCCATTTACTTAAAACAGACCTAGAAAATATTGAAAGCTGGTCCAGAACATGGGGGATGAAGCTAAACGCATCAAAATGTACAGTGCTTCGAATTGGGCCAAACAATCCAAACACACAGTATACTCTTAATAACACGACCCTCACATCAGTGAAAGAACAGAATGATCTAGGAGTCATTATAACATCTGATCTGAAATGGGAGACACATATAAAGAAAATAACGAAAAAAGCAAACTCTTTTGTATATCTCATAAAGCAAGCTTTTAGGGACCATTCAGTGGAAATGATAACGAAGCTGTACAAAAGTTACATAAGGCCAAAAGTTGAATATGCATTTACTGTGTGGAATCCCTATTATATAAAGGACATTGAACTCCTAGAAAGGGTTCAGAGAAGAGTTACAAAAATTCCTCTAGAACTTAGGTCCTTACCATATACAGAAAGGTTAGAAAGGCTCAATCTTACAACCCTTAGAGAGAGGAGACACAGGGGAGATCTAATAGAGACGTTTAAAATAACTAACGGCCACTATCAGTGCAATATTAAAAACCTTTTTCATCCAAGTCAAAATAACCAGCTTAGAGGCCATTCTAAAAAACTAGAGAAAGAAAAGACATCGAAAATGGTAAGAAGAAACTTCTTAGTGAATCGTGTTGTGTACTCCTGGAACGCTCTACAGGAAGAAACAATTTCCGTCGTTTCTATTAATGCATTTAAGAACAAAGTGGACTCTGAATTGAAACAGGACTTTAATAGGATGGTTCATTATGGTGTATAAACAGAAACAAACTCTCATATCAAAAGACACAATAGCTTCATCGGTTTCACCGCCTGCTATTGGTTAATTATAGAATTAAATTATAGAATTATAAAATTATAGAATTATAATAATTAGGTGCTTTTTAGGTGCTAATTAGGGCCTCTAATTAAAAATTAGTTGCTCCTCTGATTTTTGAGAAAATCAAAAAAAACTGAGGGATTGCTAGGTTTATGAAGCTAGTAGTCCCCTATAGTAAAAAATATTTTTCCAAAATTTTCTTTTGTATCAGAATTAGCTGCTTTTTAGGTGCTCCTAAATAGTCGAAGAAAAAATAGAATTGATTAATTATTAACTGAGTTACAGATTTTTTTTAATTATTAGGAGACTGCTAGCTTTACGTTTACATGCTGGTTTGTCAGAATGGACAAAAAACTTCGGGATCTACAGTGTCATTACTTAAGT